TCAAGGCCTTACAGTGCCCTTCCACAAAGACAAGTCGCCCTGATTCTCCCACAGCCCCTTGAGTGAGATGGGTACTAGTTTCCCTCATTTACAGAGGAAGGGGGAGGGGAGGGGAGGGGAGGGGGAGACTGGATCGCTTTCAGCCCTGAGCTAACAGCGGTGCCGATTAGCTATTGTGCCTGTGTTGATTTGTTCCTTTCTTCCTTTTTTCTCCCCTTTGGTCAAAGATTCAGCAAATTTTGTCAGAAAAAAAATGAAATAAAGAACTGCCCGGCAGTGTCAGAGTTGATGGCGTTTGTACTCGAAGTGGCTGCACGGGGCCGGCTGTGAGCGGGGGCAGAAGGACGGCGGCAGGTCTCGTGCGTCCACACGCTCGGGGGCCATCTGTCCATCCCTCTCAGGAGCGGGGTGCACATGTCCCCTGTCACTGCAACAGAGCCTCTCTTCATCCCCTCTCGTCCCCCAGCTGTAATGGGAATAATCACCACCTGGATGAGAGCTGTAAAAACGTTCTGAACTGTGGCTCGGCAATAGCCAATGAGAGAAAAGGAAGGTGCCTCTTCTAGCAGGAAGCAGCCCTGCATCTCTCCTGCATCACGTGCCCTGAGATGGTCCTTAGGTCAAGCAGGCTGTTCTCACGCCCACGGGCAGCTTGTAAGTAAGAGGATGGTGTTTACACTTATATTCCTGGCAGAATCAGCCAACTCAAGGAGAAGACCAGCGTCTCCATTTCAGGACTTGGGGAGCTGTGTGACCGTGCTCTCAGTCTCGGACCTGTGGGCCGGCCAGCGGCCCGGGAGCCTGCCGCTTATCCTTTCACAGCAAAGAGTCGCTGAGTTTGGCCTCAACATGTTTCTCAAACAAACGGTGGAAAAAGCCTCGGCTGGAAAGAGAATGATTCTGCATTGCGCTGTGCCCACCTGCGCTCCAGAGGCGGGGGTGCAGCCACGCCAGTGTTGCCGACGCCCGAGTGACCGGCCTGCGGCCGAGGGTTTCCTCAGTTCCCTTCAGCTCACGTCACACAGCTCTGCCCAGATCTGCCTCAGAACTGGAGATGGTTCTCCACGGGTGGGTCAAAGGTGCTCTGGTCCAGTTCTCGAGGATACAGACCATACTCTGCACACCTCGTCTTCTCTCATGGACTGACACAGAAACACACACACACACACTCATGCAGGTGCACACGCACATTCCACACCCACACACTCAGATACACACACACTCATGCAGGTGCACACGGACACATAGGCACACACATTCCACACCCACACACTCAGATACACACTCATGCAGGTGCACACACACAGACACACAGGCACACACTCCACACCCACACACTCAGATACACACACACTCATGCAGGTGCGCACACACGGACACAGGCACACACATTCCACACCCACACACTCAGATACACACTCATGCAGGTGCACGCACACACAGAGACGCACACACAGACACACACACTCCGACACCCACACACTCAGTCAGATGCATGCACAGACTTCTTGACTGACTGGACAGACTTGGTGTTTGATCTTTGGAGACCTGACTCCTTTTTTTTTTTGCGGTAGCGCCGGGCCTCTCACCGCTGTGGCCTCTCCCGTTGCGGAGCACAGGCTCCGGACGCACAGGCTCAGCGGCAATGGCTCACGGGCCCAGCTGCTCCACGGCACGTGGGATCTTCCCGGACCGGGGCGCGAACCCGCGTCCCCCGCACGGGCAGGCGGACTCCCGACTGCTGCGCCACCAGGGAAGCCCGACCTGACTCCTTTTTATCCCGGGCAGCAAGGGGCCGCAGGACAGCTCTAGACCGTGGAGCACACACTTGTTCACCTAAAGAGGTGGGAGGGAGCTGGGGGAGAGCGCACCCTCGGAGGGAGCTTTCTTGCAGTGGATCTTTCTTCTTGGTTGGGGGGAACCCACTCGAGGACACTTGAGCCACTGAACTTTTCACCCGAAGGCCACTCGTTTGATTCCAGGTCTGTCCCGTTCATAACTGGCCCCAGCCTCTGTGCAGGGTTCCAAAGGTCTGCAAGGTGTGCTGGGCCGAGACGCCTCCACACACCACACACACTGTCTCAGAGCGTTTGCGCAGCGGCCCCAGGAGGGTTTAAGACAAAATCAGCTTATATCCTCGGTCTCCTCTAGAAGTACCAGTTAGATATACTTATTAAGCAATCAGGAGGTTCAGTTCCTATATTTAATAGTGGTTACTTTTGAGGTAGTGAACACTTCTTAATCCAGGTTAAAAGTTGTACTTGCCTGCAGTGGACAATTATTGGACAAGAGCGGCCCCTGTAGCACTTGTTTACTTTTCTGAAATAAAGAGAGACACAGAAGTTACGATTATGTACTAGGCTCTGGAGCAGCCGTCCAAACAACCCACACGCCAAAGCAAACAGACCGTCCCTTGGACACCATTTTGCAATACCCTGTTTTGACAAAGAAGATCAAAATTATGCACACATTTTCAAAGGTTTATTTTTCTTTTCAATATTAACTTATTAAACAGAGCTTTGAAAACAATTCTTACATTTTCACAGTTTTCTTTTTCCCTTTACAAGTATGAACTCTGGCCTGAGGTCAACGGATCCATCGGTGTGAGCCTCCCCCTCCTCCCCCGCCACCTTGATTTCTCTAGTTAATTTGACTTCTGTTGTTGTTGTGATATGTCTAGATTCTTCACTTAAATTTTTGAGTTTTGCAATTTACACTCCGAATTTCTTACAGTCTAGACATCACATTGGAATGCAACATTACCGTGATGTCTCAAAACAGCATCTTAAAGACACTTCTTGATCTGTCAGTTTTGTAAGGATATCCAAATTACAGAGAAGCCTCAATTATGTCCAAGACACATATTTCCATTTTTATAAATCTGATTATGTTTAGAACAACTTGTTTGTGCAGATTTTAGGTTAGAACTTATGAAAATTATCAAGAAGCGTTGATTATGTTTAAAACAACTCGGTTGTGCAGATTTTAGGTCAGAATTCATGAAAATTAACAAGAAGCGTAGATTAAGATTTTGTCACCAAATCCTAAATCACTACAGAGCACTGCTAGGAAATTCACTGTATAAGCTTGATATTTTTTGTAATTCAGTGAAACAACTAATCATGTTTACAAATTATATCTAAATTCTCAGTAAAATCTTTCTAAATAAAGAAAATTAAAGACAGAATTTTGGTTAATTGGAGGGAAAAAATGTGTGAGGGGGGTGTGCTCTAAAATGTGCTGTGAATGTGAATTTCTATGATATAAGACGTGAAGTAAAATTTTAAAAAGAATGACAGTAGAGAAAAATCTTTTTCTTCATGGCGGAAATGGGAAAATGTCACATTTCTCTGCAAAGGCTTGTCTGCTCAGCATGGAAATAGTTGAAAGTGGAAATTCAATCAGCGGGTTCTCTTGCTACAAACCCCTGAGACAGTGTGGGATTGGGAGGGAGTCGAGTGCTGTAGCTGATGGGTGAGCTGAGTGGGTATTTTAATGTCACATAAAATGACATTTATTGCCCAAATGTCAGAGCTGTGTTGCTTTCCTACTTCCGCTATGGAGTGAACGGAATAGGCGCTTCTGAAGGGAGACTCCACCCACTGAACAGCACAAGGGAAGTGGCAGGAGGTGGCCGTGCAGTCCACGTAAGATGTGCCCGGAGACGGCCACACCCGGGGCCATCGGGGCAGCGGCACGTGCTCTGTGGTTGCTGCCCGGCTGAGAGCCAGGCTTCAAACCCGGACCTCAGAGAGTCTGGGAGGTGAGGACCCAGAAACCCGGGTACAACAGGCAGCCCGGCATCCTCGTGGCCACGGCACTGCTCCTGCTGGAGCCTATCCTTGCTTTTGACCTACACCCCAGTGTTAGGGTTTAGGGGAGAGGAAAGGGGAAGTGGTTAAGTTGAGGGAACGTCTGTGCCAGGATCCCTGGAAAGTTCTCAGCCCTTTGAGAATAAGAGATTGGAAAAGAGATCTACCAGCTCCTTCTAAAACCTCCCATTCTCGACTCAGGTTGTCAAGGCAATGGTGAGCTTTAGCTCCGACAAAATAGATGCCAGGCCCCAAGGACTCGTCTCCAGTGTGAGCAGTGGGGAGCCCGCCAGCCCAATAAAGGCCGCGTGTGTGTGTGCGTGTGCACATGCGTGTGTGTCCAGGCATGATGCACGCGCTGTGTGTGTGTGTGCGCAGAACGGAGCTTGCTTGCCCGTGAGACCAGAGCCAGGGTGGCTCTACTTTTACAGGCCTTGCACCTTCAAACAGAACTTTCTCCTGGACGCTTCTCAGTCACGGAATCTTTTAGGTGTGAACCACCTCAGCTCGGCACCTCCAACAACACCCTGTTATATTTCCCACCTGCCAGGCCTGTCTGTGTTTCTAAAGGCTAAACTCAACTTTTGGTCAATCCCCCGGTTTTGCTCATTTTTTCTGATGGGGCCAAGCACAAAAAAGGTACATTGAAAAAGAAATAAACACAACAACAAGATGCCCTTCTCTGAAGCGTGCTGGTTGCAGGAAAGGACAGCATAAGGAAGCGGAAGACCAGCAGTGCTCCATGTACAGCTGGCCGGTCAGGCCCCCTTTGGCCAAACGCAGTAGGAATCACCTCCCTGGCTAAGAAATGTGGCTAAAAAGCAAATTACTGGCTACTTTGGCTGTGACTTGCTTCTCCAGACGGCAGTTCTGGTCTCTATTGTACGACACGCTTAAAACGTTCTTTTCTCCAGCGTGCTGTGACTGGCTGCCTCGGCAGGACCCAAGAAGGTTTCAGTGTAATTTTAGTATCCATGCCAGCCCCTCCCTGTGCTAAACCTATTTACAAACAGCCACAAGCAATCAAGGAGGCGCGAGTGGAAATCCAGTGTGCGGCCACGGTTTAGAATTTTATTTACACAGAACCAGGTACTTATATTATTACCACATAAAGCATCACAAGGAGAAAAGCAGAAACATCACACAGTCCACCAAAGCGTTCATCTGGTCGACCCGAGAGAGAGATGCGGATTATTCATGAAGATGAGGAATGCACAGCTGTCTGGTTTTACTTTACTGGAACAAATCATCAGTAAGCAAGAGGCCGCAGACATTGAGTAAAATGGATATCGTATATACTGCAACAGGAGGCATTCACTGAGAAAGAACGATTAGTAATACAAACCAACCCATGGGTCACTGAGTGAGAAGGAACCGCCATGCAACCAACAGCAAGCAAAGGTCAGAGGTCGTTAGAGGCTCAGAAAGGGGGCTTCCCACTCTGTCCCTGCAGTACAGTCACAGTTTCCAATGATCACTTTTGTGACTATGCAACTGGGCTCATATTACTAGCTGCAACATCACAAAAATGACACTGGCCACCGCTCATTAGCTGGCAAAGTAAGGGTTGTCCATTTTTACAGTGAGCAGCGTTAGTGGATGTCATTGCACACAGCCAGGAGTGAGAGAGTAGCAGAGAGAGAGAATTCTTCTAGAGCAAAGCCCTCACATGTGATGCTAATTATCTCTTAGCTTAGCAGTTTCTCTTTAAAGTGTAAATGTGCTCCCTCTGGGCGCCAGAAATATTTAATTACACATCTCGGTGTCTGACGAACGCGCTCGGCCAGAACAGGAATGAACGCGGGTCTATTGTTCAAAGGGAGCCGAGCCGCCCCGCTGCATTGAAATGACCAGTGTCTTCAGAAGCCGGCTCACCTTCCGATGGCTGACATCTGGGGGCTGCTTGACACAGAAAACCACAAAGCAGCGATCCGTGTCTGAGCGCGATGTGCTCTGAGAATGTGATCATACCAACGGCCCAGGTAGTACATGAGAGCAACCTTGTCCGCTAGTGAGGGCAGGACAGCTTTCTCTCTAACGAGATGCTCAAAACCGGGTCTGGGGGTTCGCGTCCCTTCTTATTTGCCAAAACCTTCTCGGGCCCTATCTCCTGGGACTCTGGAGAAATGGAATTTGGGGAATCAGATTTTTCTTCCTGACGAACTGTAAGCACAGAGGGTTGGTTATGTATTGTCCAACTCCATATATGGATACGGAGCTAGAAACACGCCCATATGCATATATGTACAGACACACTGGACGAGCACCAACACGGCAACCGCCGTGTGTGTAGCTGCATCCATTTTGCCAGTAATGACTGTTTTTTGAAGAGTCTATCTCAGGAAATGTGCCCTAAGTAAGATTTTTAGAAATAAATTCGTATTAAGAAAATGTAAGTAATGGCCAGGCAATCGGGATGGAGTGGGTCTGTCCAAGAGCGTCCAGGACCCCCTGCCGCTCGCGCCCTCTGCCGCCCTGGGTAGGGGGACAGGGCGACAGGCGAGACACCGAACTCGCGTCTCTGCTGGAGCTGTTTCACGTGCTATTTAACACACAGGGCTATTCAAATAAAGAAATTTGTTTTGTTTTTCAAAGTGGGCTAAAAGGCAAAAGAAATAGTATCAAAATAACCTTCTGTAAGAATCTGTAACACAAATTCAAGAAATCCAGAGTTATGCCTGAAACCCCATCTTTATGACAACACGCCGTTTCAACCTCCCTCGAGTTATGTATCTGTGACTGTTCAGATACAAATCACTTTACGAGCATGTGCAATTAAAGTGGTTTAAAGAGCGTTTTGCCTTTATTCTCTAATTCCTTGTTTTGAATATTTATCTGTTTTCCATATTTGCTAGGTTTCCAATCAGCTAAATGTAAGGGAGGTTCTAGAAAGCTCAGAACGTGGTTATGGGTGGCCTTCGACACCTTCATTTTCTCTCTAGATATTTTTAAACTGTCAGCTTCCAAACTGCACCACAAATACACGGTAATGTGGGAACTCCAGCCAGGTGTTCATCCAAGGTCATCCATTTCAGAATCTGGGCCTAGCTCTCATCGCCATAGCTAGCCAGCTGAGCGCCCAAACGAAAACTGGGCTTTCTTCACCAATATCCTGTGAAATTCACACCCTAGGATTCTTCACCACTTGAAGAAGCTTATCGAAAACAATGACCACATTTCCACAATTCTAAGATACCCATTCCCCCCTCACATTTTAACACCTCTAAAGCTAGAAAGCGTCTTACAGTTAATGTGTGAGTTAACACAATCTCCCCTCCCCTCCCCTATACACAACATAAATAGATTTATAACATACAAATATTAGCAGATGGCACGTCTTACAGCAAATGGCCCCTTGGACCCAGGAAACCCCTTCTCTCCGTGTCCGCACTCAGCACGCTACCCCGCCGGCGGGCCGTGGGTCTTACCTGCGGAAATCCAGAAGGGACCTCGTGGAGGCAGGCACTCCCTTGTCATACCAGCTCAGGAAGTGAAACTGCGTCACCGTGCGAGTCTCGTTGGTTTGAAGGTTCTTCAGATAAAAGCTCCTCACGAGGAAATCCTCGCACCAGATGTGTTCAGAGACCAGATGCACCTGGGCGGGGGGAGAGCGGACGGGGGTGTGTGTGTGCAGAAACAGGCGTTGGCTGGGGGCCCAGCTCGGCTGAGCGCGGAGCCACATTGTGGAGAGAGGGGTGGGGACCACGGGGGCACGTGGCGGGCGGGGGATGCTGGTGAACAGCCCCGCCTACCTTCCCAATTTCAACATAGTTTACACAAAAGATCACTTGGTGGGTTTTTTTTTGTTTTTTGTGTGTTTTTTTAATGTCACTCTGGGGCATAATAGTCAAATTACTGGAAAAACCTGTTATAATCCAAACGATTCCAGTTTCTGTCTTTTCTAATCCATGTAAACCTTCAACAAAAATCACCAGAGAAAAATTATACTTTTGAGCAAAAACACCACACGAGGTTCCACTCTCACTGACATGTCATCAGGGAGGCACCACCTGGCTGCAGAAAGAGGAAACCAAAGGCATACACAGATGCTGCCGGGCCCTGAGCTTGGAAGCCCAGGGCAGGGACCCCAAAGCCACGACCGGCTTAGGGGGAACCTCTGTGCTTCTAACGTGGGTCCTGCTGTGGGACTTTGGCATTCTGAATAATTTTAATGCAAAACAGGGTCAAAGGACACACTCCAGTGCTGGTTTAACTGCCCAAGTTTCCTTAGTTCCTTCTTGATGTGGGCAAAAATCCAGCAGGAGAAATGAGCTTGCCTGCAGGGGACCCTCAGATAAAAAGGCCAAGCACTGCGGACACAGACCACCGGAGAGCAGCAGGGCCCGGGGTGCAGGCGGGATGCTAAGAATTAGGGACAGTGTCAACAGAGGCTTCTTTCTGAAAAAGGACCCACTAGGGGCCTGTTTTCCAGAATCAGGCTCAACTGACCACCCAGTGAGGTCATTTTTTGGTCCTTTCTGTCCAAATTTGGATTCATAAAATTAAAAAAATGAAAACCATTTCTGCCAGAGTCCCCATGGCATAGATGTCTGGAGGATCTTGGTGTCTGTTGACCACGGGCCTGCGGACACCTCCTACGGGGACCGACTGCACAGCAAGGCTTCAAGGGACAGAGGCTGGCGACCGCACAGGGCAGGCCTGCCAGTGCCCGCCACAGCCCGTGGCCCCCAAGCCCATGGCCCACGGCGGCCACCCGGGGAGTACCTCGTAGACGTGGTAGAGGTTGGAGCCCTCGTCCGGCCAGTAGTGGTAACACTGCCTGACGCCGTTCTCCGAGAGGGGGGTCAGCATGACGATGACCACACAGCCGCTCTCCCACACCATCTGCAGACAGACAGAGACCGGTGTGAGTGGCTGCGCCCCATGACATGCGTAGTTAGTGCCCCAGAGACACAGTCCAAATCTGTTCCGTGCACAGGAAATTTATTTCATTTTCATTAGACGGTGGACTCTGCAGCTGCTTTTGCATCTCTGAATATGCTGGCCCCATAATTTGCATGTTCCATGGAATATTAAAAAGAAGAATCTAGTAAACTCATTCCACGCCTTGTAAAACCTCCTCAGTTGTGCGCTCAGCTGCCTGGCTCCCCCCGTTTTGGTCTGTAACGCAGGACAAACAGGCGACTGGTCCCGCAGTGGGTTGGCTGGCCTGACTCGGACACACCACTTCCCCGTGGGACACAGACAGAAATTAGTGGACGTGTTCGTTTTCCAGTACTTGTCATTATTTGTGCGACTAGACAAACAGTTTGCTTTGTGGAGCTGCCATCCTATCGGAAACAGCCCTGAAAGTATTCCTTCCCAAGTGCATTACAGCCACGAGTCCCCACTGGCATTTCGTTTCCTTTTACCAAAATATAGCAATACTGCCCAAAGGAAAGCGCACCCCAAACTGACTTAATCATCCATAACAGCCACACCAAAACCAGCTCCGAGACACAAGAAACAAACGGACCCACGTTTAAACACCAGACATGTCAAAGACACAAAGGCTCTCGAGCTTGGCTTCTTTTCAGACAAAACTCACAACTTTGTGGCCGTGAGCCTACGTGCTTGGAGCATCTTTGCTAAAACCACTGATTCTATGGGTTAAACGTAAGGGATAGAAATAGTCAGTATTCTTAAGGCCCCTCTTTGTGTATCATTTATAGTGGAATTCAAGGGGACTTGCTGCAGTGTTTCCAAAAAAGCCCACATAAACGTGAATTACGCTCAAACCCGCATGCTTTCCTTCTCTTTACTGCAAATCCAACAACAGATGAGAATTCAAAGCCAGTGCACTGCTCTAAGCTTCTCAGGCCTCCGGACCTACCCGCTGATCTGTCCTCCTAACACGTAGCAGTTTAATGTGCCTTGAGAAGGTGCAGAAGCCTAGTGAAACCATTACGAAAATGAGGAGAAACACAGATTTTATGAGTGTAATAAAAATACAATGATCCAGGCCATAAACTAATCATCGAGGCTCTGCTTGCGCCCCCCCAGGAGTGGCATTAGGAAGGCCCTCCGCCAGCGAGGTCCTTCCGTCTGGGGACCCGCCTGGCTCTCTGAAGGTTTGGTTAACAGTGAATAAAAATGAAATAATTTACACGAACAACCGCAAAGGCACTCCTGGGGATAGTATTTCTTTTGACGTCACTGTGTAAAAGCAGACAGGGGAACTGACTAAATCAAACCAATCTCAGCCCACGTGGGCACCAGCATCACAGGGCGGTTCCCACTCCGCCAGCTCTGCCCGTGTGGCCTGGAGCCTGTGCGTGGGGCGACAGCCACCTTCGCCACCTTTTCCGGTCTCCTACCGTGCTGCCTGGCCAGCTGGACCCCCGAGCACACCGGGAAAGCTGCGGCGGGGTTCGGAGGGAATACAGGATCTGGTGGAAACCCCAGCTGAGCAGGTTCCGTTTCTGAACAGGAGACTGCACTCCCACCCTCTTCCTTGGCTTGGTTTTGCAGGGTCATGCCTGGCATGAGGAAGACGCGATTTCTGTGCCCAATCTTTGAGAAACCTACTACATTTTTCTCTTCGAGGAAGTAAGTAACGACCTGGATTCCCTACCTGATCTTGCTGTGGAGTCCACTGAAGCCAGCGCTTTGCTGAATTAAAGAGCGATGGTTGAATGCCAGAAATGGCACTTCCTAGCACTTTCCGTTTGATTAAATGTCAGACAACACAGCATGCGTGGTCGTCTCCCGGTTCATTGGGCACATTTATTGGGCACCTAGCACGGGTCAGGACATCAGAGGCCACGGCAGGGGTGGGGAGAGAGGTCCTGGCCATAACAGTCCTTTACTGGCATAAAGTGGGTTCCTTTTCCCGAACAGGAAGCAGGTGCTGTCAGCCCTGGGTCAGAAGAAAGCTGTCAACGTGGATTAAACGTGGCCTTACGTGTGGGATCCCGAGGATAAGCCCCTGGTGCGTTTGGAGAACCGGAAATGCCCCCCTTCTCGCGAGAGCTTCTCCTAGAACGCGCCAGCACGGGCCAGGGAAGCCCCCTGAAGGCGTGTTATCCCCCCCGCACACAGGGGCTGGGGGCAGGAGTGACGGGACCACCGGTGGCGACGATGCCCACCGACTTCTTCACTGGTGGTGGTGTCACAGGGGTCACGGTGGCCGTCTCTGAGGTCCTGGGCTGTCATAAAACACTCCAGCTACACCCCGCCACCCATGCCTGTGCTCCCAGCCCCGAGTGGCACTCAGAGGCCACCCAGAGAAGGAACACATGATGACAACGCAGCTGATGCAGCTGAGCCTGGGAGCCTGTTCATGGTCATCAGACCCAGGCGAGTGGAAAAGTTAACACGCAGCAGTAGCTCAGACCATTGGCCCAGCGAGGGGAAAAGTTAACAGGACTGTTGGCCCAAGTGATGTGAAATACATGCTCTGGAGGCAATTTGATCCAACTGAGTAATTTACAGATTGTTGGTTAAGACACAAACACCGTATTGCTCTCTGCAACCCCGCAGGGGTTGAACTTTGTCCCCTGAAAAGACATGTTGACGTCTTAACCCCTGGCACCTATGAATGCGGCCTTATTTGGAAAGAGGGTCTCTGCATATGTCATAGAATTAAAAAGACGAGGTTATTCTCCATCAGGGTGGGTCCTAATCCAACACAAGAGGAGGGAAACACCATGTGAACACGGGCTGGGACTGGGGAGACGCCGCCAGAAACACTTGGGGCACCTAAAAGCTGCAAGGTCCTCCTCTCAGAGCTTCCGAGGGACAGCAGCCCTGCCGGTACCTGGATTTTGGACTTCCGGCTTCTAGAACTAAGAGAATACACTTGCACTGTTCTAAGCCACCCAGTTTGTGGAAATTTGTCACTGGCAGCCCCAGGAAAGGAATACACTCACTGATACCCGCCCTCTGCTCCAGCCCCAAGTCATCCACAGGTGTTGAAAGACATCAGCTCCAAGTTCCTTATATTAAGCTAATTAGAGCAGATGGAAAGAAACTACAGGGTCTCTTCATTGAAGTCTTTCTTGAGCACCAAGTGTTTAGCAAACAAAACTCTTTCAAAGCCCCACTGAGACCCGATTAAAGGCAAGACAATCCACCTGAATGGTGGATTCTGCAAAGCACGCTGGTCACTCCTGGCAGGAAGCTTCTCCCCCCTTTACCTGGATCTCTTGTGATGAGCCCCTTTCCACCTGGTACTGGTCTCGTCTGTGTTGGCACGACTTTCTACTACCAGATTGTCATCTCCTTGAAGACCAGAGCCTTGTCTGGTTGCCATTTCTACCTCCAAGGCATCTGGCACAGGGATTTATTACAGTTGATGCTTAGTTGAAAACAATACGTATTTTAAAAAGAGATCATTTGAATAGTTCCGTAAAAAGAGAACTCAAAGAAAACGCTATCAAAGGCTTGCCTGGCAGAAGCGCTCCTAGGACTCGCTCAGTGCACAGAAAAGTGTTTTTTTTCCAAAGCGCATGCACTGTCTGCATGCCCGCTGCAGCTGCCAACGCAGGAAGTGGGGCAGCTTTTCTCCAGACCAGGCCGAGCATCCTCGCCACCCCGCCACACGACCCATCTCCGCTGCCAACTTCTTTTCAAAGGTTGAACGGAGATCAGCTTAAGCCTGGCAATGAGGATGCTGACAAATTTGAAAACGATAAGGACTCAAGGAGGTCTCAGAGCACTTGCATTTTATGTCAATCAGCTGTAACCACGTGCTCTGAAATCTATTAAAGAAGGAAAAAACAGCAGTGTCTACGGCACCTTTTGCAGGGCAGACCCCCAGCCCCGCTCTCGTCCTGTCCAGAGGACGGTCGTAAGAAACACGCCATTAAGCCTTTCCAGACTCTGGTCTGCTTTGGCTACACAATCACAGGCCCTGAGTCAAACTGTGAATGCTGAGGGCGGCGGTCTGGCTAGATGAGGACGAAGGTGATGAAATCTTGATCACATCTTCCATGCGAGACTCACACCCACCTGGTTTGCTTCTCAGTAAACAAAGCTGTCAGCGCGGGCCTCCCTTGGAGATAAAACCCTGAGGTAATTGTAGGAAAGCCGATATTAAATGCTGACACCCAGGAAGGGCTGAGCAGGGAGGAAGGCGTCTCCTAGCTATTAAGATCGGAACTGAGCCCAAGCCAGTCTCGATTCTGGATAAACTGCAGCAGCCACCTCTGGATGTTTTCCACCAGCAAGAAGGAGAAACCATCTACATAAGAGATACTCGGCATTTCACTGGAATTGAGCAAAGACAGAACAGCCTGCTTGTGTGTCAGGCAGAGGTGATGTGGCTGGCGTGGCCATTTAGCATTTCCACAGCGAGGCCACTCACAGACCAAGCCGCCTGTTTATCCGAACTTTGTGCGGTTGCTGCGGAGGTGTTCATGTCAGGTATTTGACTGCATGGGGAGTCACCTGGGCCCGGGACTCTTGTCCCTTGGAATCACTTACAGCTCCCTGGCCTGCGTTTGTGTTTCAAATTTAAAATGCACGTTGACTTCTTAGGTAAAGAAAGTGCCACTTAGGCTGCCATCTTTCTTTTCAAAATCAGGACCTGATGTAAATGCATCAGATCCACTTGTGAATCAAGAGAAGGAGGGAGGAGGAAAAAGAAGAAAGAAGAAAAAACAAAGAAAGAAAGAAAAGAGAAGAAAGGAAAGACAGACGAAGGAAGCAGAAGCGCCATTACACAGAAAAGCAAAGTGTTTTCAGCCGAGGTCCATAAAAATCAGTTAAAGAGGAAACTCAGGCTGTGTTTCTTACCGAGCCTGAGCTAAGGCTCCGCCACGTGCCTGGCGTAAGGACGCGCTGCCGGGCTCACCATACACGACCGCGCACAGCCCTGCGCAGAGCACGGTCTCCAAACCCAC